GGCCCAGTCAGAAACACTCATGTGAAAAATTAAAAGAACAAGGTGCTTACCTCGGCCAGGTCGTGGCCGATCCTTTCGGCTACCTGAGTTGGGGTCATTTTCCCCAGATCTTCCCTGACTGGCCCGGCGTTGCTGATACGGGCCAGTATGGACGATTCGTCCTTGTTTCGCCCGATCGAGGGGCTCGGGCTGCGATGTTCTCGGCGGCGCGTAATGCCGCCCACCTCGGTCACGCCCTGCTCGGGCACTTTCTCCTTGCCCCGAGCGACTTCTACCCGGGTAACCAGGACGTCGGTCGGCTCGACGACGAAGCCCTCGGCCGTCGTGACGGTCGAGGCACTGATAGGACGGGCCAGCGGGACCTCCTTCTACCCGGTTGGTTTTGCCCTCGGCTTCTTTTTGCCGCCCAGTGAGATTTTGGCGGGCGGGGGAAAAGGGGCGTCATCATCTCCGAACTCTGCCATGGCTGCAAATAAAGAAAAGTTAGTTAGGTCGAGAAATTAAGCAACGCTCGAGGAGTTGCGATCGGGAGGAGTTAGCTAATGTTAAACCTTTACCCTTTCGTTTGCCCCGAGCGGGCATCCTTGCAACCGTCACGCCCCGAGGCTCGGGCTTATACTTCTCGGGCATGTCATATACGGGCTTGGGCAGGTCGGCCGCCTCCAAGGACTCGGGTGTCCTGAAGATCCAGTACTCGTAGATCTCCCCGGATATCTTGGTGGCCGCGTCCTTGAGGGCCTGGGTCTCGACTGCGACAACTTGCTTCCTGAAACGTTGACTCCAGACCCTCTCAACCGGGAGAATCCACAGTTCGTATTTCACGGAGAACAACAGGTTCTTCCATCCCCGGTTGTTTCCGGGCAGACCTTCGATCGAGCACATGTCTGCCCGGGACTGGGTCATCAGATACCCAACCCGTATGAGGCCGCTAGCACCTTCACCTGGTATATGAAGTTGAAGAGCTCCATCGTGCAGGCCAGCTGGTGTCGATCGCAGATCTGCGGGAAGCACGCAATCATTCGATGCACGTTCGGGCAAATTTGACCGGGTACGACCTGGTAGTAGCCCAGGAATGCGGTAAGAAGGCTTGAGAAGGGGAAAGTGATCGGGGCCATCAGGGAGTCATAATGCATCCCGAGCCACTTTCCCCGGTGCAGCTCGATGATGCTTCCGAGCTGCCTGCTGGTGTCCAACTCGACCCGACCGGCTAGTGTTGCGGCGATTCTGCTCGCTTCTCCTTTTGTCAGCAAGCTCATCTGGGACTCAACGGACTCGCTGTTGAGAAATTCGAAGCCGTCCCCGGCCGGCGCTGCCGGCCCGGCCGGGTCTTCCTCGACCGCCTCCGCGTCCTCTGTCCGGTTGTCCTCTTGGGGCTCGGCTTGAGGGTAATCCCCAATTACCCTCGTAGGCGTTCCCCTGACGCCTTCAGCCGGGGAATTTCGTCCGCTCGTGGACGTTTCCCCGCTCCTCGCGCTCGAGCTCCCCGACCCGCTGGAGCTCGACCCCGACATCCCCGATGAGCTCGATGACCCTTCTAGCTCGGGGGCTCGGTCGGGGATTTGCTGTGGTCGTTGCTCGACCTCTGGAGAATAGGACATGATGTCCACCTCATCGCTGCTTTGCTCGACCGTGTCGTCGTAGTCTGCAACCGAGACGTTCTAGCTATCCGAATCTGACATCTTTTCTACCTAAAGGTCGGTCGTGGTTAGTACAGGACTCGGGATGTTAGGTCGGAGTTAGTCCTGTCCTACTCCTACACAAGGCTAGAAATAAAAGACAAAGCAGGGAAGTAGAAAGCTTACCGATCGCGAAGACTTGGATAGAGCTTGCGGATGTTCTGCTCGGTTGATCTGCTGATGATTCACTCGGGACTCTCTGAGGGTACCGGTTGATTCAGAAGATTGAGGAAAGTTCAAATGAGGGCCTCAAAGGCCTATTTATAGGAGAGCATTTGGGCGGGAAACCAATCCACTTGCACGGTGTGACCCGCACTGATTCCGAGGCGACTGTTGCAATCGCCGAGGCCGGCAGTCGCCGACACGTGGCAAGAGAAGGAATGACAGCTGGCCGGTCGGTTGGGTAGCCGACGGTTGGGCTTCTTCATCCCGTCCCGTTTTTACCTGGACGGTCAAAAAGGCCTGGGCTGGGGGGCTCTTGGTAGGGAATATCCCGACCGACATAATTTTACCCCGGTTGGTGTGCCTATGGTTTTGTCTTCTTGTCTTTGCAGGTAACAGGTCGGGCTTCTTGTGAAGAACCCGGTCGGACCCCGACCGGGAGTTGCTCGAGCGGAAGTGTCGACCACCGAGTGGTAGCCCTTTGGCGAGAGAGCTGACAAGAGACACATGGCGGCTCCACACGTTGACAGGCAGGGCACCCGGGACGGCGACACGTGGTGGCTACGTGGGAAGCATGCCGAACGGCCGGATTTGTGTCTCCGGCGCCGCGGCTATATATACCCGCGATAGCTACAGTGTGAGGGACTTTTGGACGATCGATAGGTTGTTAGAGAATCCCGACCGCAGTCAGTCGACACTCAGAGCAACCAAGTAGATTGTACTTAGGGCCTTCACCGTGATCAATAAAAGACATTTATTTGCTTTAATTGGTCTCGTATTTATTTAATTACTGCGTACGTGGCAATTAGCAGTATCACATGTTATATATTTACTTATTCTCAAATATGATTTATGTAGATAATATATGTTCTATAGGCACATAATTTCATAATACAAGACATAAATTCAGAAAACAAGACACACAATATGTTGTGTGTTACACAACTATTAATCTATTTCAGGTACAGAATCCATAGCTTAAGGTACGGAATTGCATAATGATACACAGAAACACATAACACAAGACACGTACACAGGTTTTATATTTACTTTAGTTCAGGTGCAGAATCAATATTTTTAAGGTACAAGATTGCATAACATAAGACCAAAAACGCATAACACAAGACACATACATATGCTTTATAGCAAAAAAGAAAAAAAAAAAAACTTTTGACGTGAATTAAACAACAAACGGTCGTTGTCAAAATTAAAACTCAAAATTACGTTATTTGGGACCAGGATCCACGGTATAACGATTGCAGATGTGTTGGCCCCCTAAACTAGAGTCGTTATCCTGTGCATCCGTGTGCACCATGCATGGTGCACACAGATGCAAAAACGACGTCGTTTTGACGTCGATTTAAAAAAAAAAAAAATCAGAATTTCATAACTACACATCCATATTTCATAACTATACATCCAGAATTGCATAACTATACATCCATAATTGCATGACTACACATCCAGAACTTCATTACTATACCTCCAGAATTGCATGACTACACATCCATAACTTCATAACTATAATCCAGAATTGCATAACTTTATAACTATACATTCAGAATTGCATAACTACACATCCATAATTTCATAACTATAAATTCAAAATTGCATAACTATACATCCATAATTTAATAACTGTAAATTCAGAAATTATGCACAACATAATGTTGTTGACGGGAATCAAAACTGAATTTCTTTTTAATTTGAACGCGCGTTTTTAGTCAAAACGACGTCGTTTTTATATCTGTGTACACTATACATGGTGCACACGGATGCACAACATAATTTGCCCATAAACTATATTCCTGAAATCCTTGGGCCGGACTCTTACGACCCCATTAAATTTGTACTAAAAAAGTTATCCATATCATTGTTATATCAATCAAGGATGTCAAATTATCTGTGAGGTCCATGTACTATAGCGATTTTGTTCAATTTTGTTCTTCTATCTTAATTTTGTTCAATTTAGTCCATGTACTTAAAAAAGTAAAACAAAAGACAATAGCTGATATTTATGTATTTATTTTAGACATATTAATGTAATATATTTGTGGTAAAATAATTAATTTTAAATAATTTTAAAATAATATATGAGTTGGCATGCAAGTATGATGACGTGACATATATAATGTCAACGACAAATCAACTATTGTCCTTAATTGTTTCACTTTATAAAGTACAAGGACTAAATTGAACAACATTAAGGTATAAGGACTAAATTGAACAAAACATTATAGTACATGGACCTCATAGATACTTTGACCCAATCAACAATCGTTATATCGTGCACCAGGGCGAACAATGCATTGTGCGTCCCGCCCTGCCCAAAATGACGTTGTTTTGTTAAGTTGTGTTGGGAGTTGACGCGACGTAGTTTATGTGCACTCTGTTATAGAATTATGTACTTTCTATTATACAATTATGTACATTCGAAACATGTGATTTTTTAAGAGTTAAGAGTTTATGTGTGTTATGTTAAGAATTCATATGTATTATGTATTATGTTAGATTATGTGTATTATGTTAGGGGTTTATGTACATTCTATTATAAAATTATGTACATTCGAAACATGAGATTTTTTTTAAGAAGTTAACAGCAGACACGGAAAATGACTTAATTATTTTTCTACCTCAATTTTCAATGTCACTAGTATAAGTTTAGAGTTAATTCCATTTTTTGTCCTAGATTTATAGGTGGTTGTCCACTGTACTTTTAGTCCTTTTTTTTATTAAAACATCCACATTTGGTCCTAATATTATTGTGGCATGATTATTTTTAGTTATCCCTCAACGAAATTGTTGAAATGTCGTTAAATACAAATGCGTTTCGATCATTTTTATATAAAGTGAATTGACCTTCCTATATTTTTATGTTTATTTATTTGAAAAAAAAAAATCGTAAATGAAGACCAAAATGCGTTTGTATTTAACGACATTTCAACGATTTTGTTGACAGAGGACCAAAAATGGTCATGCTACAATAATACTAGGACCAAATGTGGATGTTTTAATAAAATTAAAATTAAAATAAAATTAAAAAAACTAAATATGGACCGCCAGTTATAAATCTAAGACCAAAAATGGAATAAACTCTTTAAGTTTACCATTGATGTTTATGCTGACCAGGTAGTAAAATTTAAGTAGTAGTAGTAATATTTGTTTATTCATTACAAATTTGTTAATGACAGTGGGAAGGGGAGATCACATAACCTCGCCTACAAGCATAACAACTATTTTTCAAACAATTACAAGTGGGTCTTATTCAAAACATCATACAAGAAAATTAAAGAGTTATGGTTAATTGAGAGCAATTAACATTATAACATATATATAAATATATAGATAAAATAGTAATTAGGTGAATTGGATGGGAAGCTTGGTTTCAGATTGGGCTAAGAATGGTGCAACAGCATTTTGATCACTACAATATAGGCAAGGGTGCTGTTTACCCAAATGCTTCATTTCCAGAGCCTTTCTTGCCATCAACACCAACTCTTTGTTGCTGAGAGGCTCCGAATGCTCTCTCAGCACACTCTGCACTGCATTGCTAAATGCACCATACGCTCTTCCCTCCGGCCTGTCTTCGACTATGTCCTGCGACACCTCGTCCGCCTGACACCCGCTCAGCAGAATCCCCTCATCCGCCTTCAGCGCCTGCCCGAAGATTAGGCGGCTCCCGCTGTCCCGCTGGTCTGCTGTATTAGTATTGTTAATGTTTATGTTGGTTAAGGATGAGAGGTGGTGCAGGAGTAGTGAGTGGAAAGGGATGAATTTAGAATGGGTTTTTGTAGATGGAGCAACGTTGATGGGCGCAGGGATATGCGCCGGCCCAATCTGCTCTTTCTCCTTGTCTATCAGCCCTCCACTATGACAGGAATCAGAGAGGATAGTGAAGATAGCGCCTTCCGCAACGCGGTTCACGATTTCCCTAAAGTCCGTGCCTGAATGTTCATGCATCATATCATATCAGATCATATCCAGACTAATCCGGTTATGCCACAATAGTACTAATTAAATAACTTACTAGTGATGAGATTGAAGTCGAGAGCAACAATGGCTTCTTCATGGTGATGGTGCTTGGAAATGAGCGTGCCATGGCCGCTAAAATGGAAGAACAGAACGTCCCCCGGCTGGGCCTCATCCACCATCCGCCCAAGCGCAGACTTGATGTTGGAGGCAGTGGGCATGACAGGGCTGCCTGGTTTGTCCATGATGAGTTGAATGCCACTACAATCAAACCCGAACCGCTTAATCAGCACATCTCTCATGGACAACACATCATTGTGGCATCCGTGCAGCTTGTACTGCGTCCCCTCATAATTGCACCCCACCAAAACCGCCACTTTCTTCCTCCCTGCACCACCTTTCTCCATTCCCCTCACCAACACGTACTAGGTATTTCAAGCTAAGAAACACGTACGTACGTATAACTAACAAAACGAGGTGATTTATGTATGTTCAATACTTCAATCAAATATAACAATGCTGTTGCTGACAAAGCTAGATTATATATGTTGGTTTTTCAGCCACGAGGTAATCGAACAGTGGGCCAACACAACCATAAAACAATTTAAAGGTGGAAAAAACAGAACAAATTGTAGAGTAATTGTAAGATAATTGAATTCTGAACTACCCCTTTCAATGTGTCCTAGGGTATTTATACAAGATTTACATGCCTTGAAAGGAAAGAAAATGAGAACAAATTTACTCTTAAGAAAGTTTCCTAAACTGCCATACTTCTTTCCTAGTATTGAAAAGGGAAATCTCGCTTAAAATCTGGAGGAAATCCTTGGACAATCTCCTCTAACCGCCTCTAGGCATGACACACGATCGGGTGCACCATCCCAACCGCCTATGTCGAGTGGCCAGCCGGGCCCAAACAGATCCAAGCCTCGGTGAGGAGCCTGGTTGTTTTGAGCCCCTCTAATATAATCATCTAATATAATCCTCTAATATATATATATATATATATATATATATATATATATATACCATGGTTGCAGTAGACGCTAGTCGGGCGCCAAAAAATCAGTGATAGACTTACAGTTTGACAATTTTAATGAGGCTATTTTCAACATTCATAAATGAAATAATGATAATTCATAAGTCATAACATCAAAACAATATTAAAATTTAGAAATACTCAAATACTTCAATCATCCAAAGATTCAAAGTATCGAACTAGTCTACGGGTGTATATATATATATGTCGTATTATATATATATATATATATATATATATATATATATATATATATATATATATATATATATATATATATATATATATATATATATATAATGAAAAAAATTAGCAAAGCCGAGCTGATCGGGTTAACTCGAATGGACGAGTTAACTCGGCTAAGTTAAACACTAGGTGGCTGCCTAGGCGGCCAAGTCGGCCGAATTAGGCGCTAGGCGGACGCTTAGGCGACCGGGCGCCTAGGGGGAAAATTGCCACGGTCTAGGAGCACCTATCGCCTAAGCGGACGCCTAGACCGATTTTTGCAACAGTGATATATACTTATAGATTTCAACTGAAATGCAAGCATGTCTTAACGTGTGGTTGGTGCGGCCGTACTATTAGTTATGTAAAAACGCACCAGTAGTGTTTGAAAAACGCACATCAATGAAATGTCACAATGCACCACAAAACGCACTACATACTCAAAAAAAATACACCATACCTCTCTACACCTAATTGTATGTTTCCGAACACTGTATTGTGCGTTTATGCGTACCTTATGGTGCAGTTTGGGGTGATGTGTACCTAATGGTGCGTTTTTTGGTGCATTGATGTATTTTTTTGTTGTGCATTTCCTAACACTCTTGGTGTATGTTTGCATACTTAATGGTGTGGCCGCACTGGAACCTGGCCCTATACATATATATATATATATATATATATATATATATATATATATATATATATATATATATATAGGGTCGCGATCTCATGCGAACGGTCGCCCAGGAGAGAACTACCAACCATCCAGCGCGCGCCACGTGTCCAGATCAACGAATTATTTTTTAAAAAATGATGCGGTGACATTTTCTTAAATAACTCGAACATCGGTGCATGTAAATGTGTTATAAGCGCAAGTAGTTGGTGCACCTTTCCAAGTAAAAAGGGCAGGCAAAATCACTTACAAGTGCATGCAATTGTGCCTTGTTAACATTCATGCAACTAGGTGCAACTACTTATAACTATAGGTGCACCTAGTTATAACGTCAGGTACACTTAGTTTTGATGTTCAGTATAAATTTTACTTGTACCTGTAATTCATTTTACCTGCACTTATAGTACATTTTACATGCACTGAGGTGCATTATATGAAATTGTTACTTGCTCTTTTAATAAATTTTACCCGCACTTCGATGTTCAATTATTTACGAAAATGTCACCGCGGTTTTTAAAAAAATCAGTGTTTCTCATCCCTTAAATCTAGACACGTGGCGCACGGTGATGGGTTTGTAATTCTCTCCTGGGTGCGTCGCTTGCACCAGATCGCGAGTATATATATATATATATATATATATATATATATATATATATATATATATATATATATATATATATATATATATATATGCGAACGAATCAGCACGCGACACGTGTCCAGATCTAATAACTTAAAAAAACGCGGTGACATTTTCGTAAATAATTGAACATCGATGTGCAAGTAAAATCACTTACAAGTGCATACTTTCACCTATAAGTGCATGTAATTTTGCCTTGTTAGCATTCACTTCCCGCAAACATTCATGCACCTGGATGTGCTTATAACTATAAGTCCAACTACTTATAACTATAGGTGCATATACTTTCACCTATAAGTGCATGTAATTTTGCCTTGTTAACATTCATTGATCTGAGTTCAGCGAGTAGTAATATACCCCTGAAAACCACCCGCAAACATTCATGCACCTAGGTGCAACTACTTATAACTATGTGTGCAACTACTTAGAACTATAGGTGCAACTACTTATAACTATATGTGCACTTAGTATTGATGCTCAGAGTAAATTTTTACTTGAACTTATAATACATTTTACATGCAGTTGTAATACATTTCACTTGCACATCGATGTTCAATTATTTATGAAAATGCCACCGCGCTTTTTAAAAAAAAATCAATGTTTCTCATTCATTAGATCTGGACATGTTGACGGACAGAATCCATTCCTATTTCGCGCCTAGGCGAAGCATTCGCACCCGAGTGCGATTCTATATATATATATATATATATATATATATATATATATATATATATATATATATATATATATATATATATATATATATATAAAAGACAAGAGTTTGGAGGATTCTTGAAGTTAAAACAAAGATGACGAAAACATACAAGCTATATATCCCGGATCGGCCGGAGAAGCAATGTATGGCCGGGTACTCATCTAAGTTTGTTAATACTAATAAAGTAAAGATTGGCAAAATGGAGTATCTTAGCTTGTTACCCAAGTGACGCAAATACGAAAATGACTCTTATGTTATCATCCTAGCTCAATGCTAGCTTCATAAGAAAAGTCCTTTATGCATTACAAATAAGTAATAATTTTAACATTTTTATATGAATTAGATCCATACATGATACACCTTTATATACACAAATTGTAATATTCTATACGAGATTGCAGACTTCAACATTTCACCTTTGGTTCGCAGATATTAGGTTGAAATGGAACACGAACCATTTCATTATCTAATTGCTTGCCTATATTCAGCTTTTCGTGTTACTTTTGAAACAAAGGAATAAAATATGTATAAATTTGTGGATATATAGATTAATTATGTACATAATTTTTGGACAAAAAAACAAAAAAGCTCGTCCGTTTTTTTTTTTTTACCCTACAACCAAAATAGGATTTTTCTATGATTTTAAAAAACTGTTACTATAGTTTTTATGCAGGCATAAGATCCATGAGAACACGCATTCAGAAAAAATTAAGAACCAATCTCAACCATACATATACACGTATCAAATCAATTTTTTTTTTTTTTAACTGCGGTGGCATTATTGTAATTATCGTCAACTTTACTATACAACTTTTAACATTATATTGTGCACTTCTAACAATATACAATGTATTTTTAGGTAACTTTCAAAAATATCAATAAATCTAAATTTTAAATATAAATCGTAAATGCTAAACCTTAAATAATAGTAGAAATGTAAACCCTTAAACCAAAAAACTCAGTCATAAACTCTAAAATTCAAACTCTAAGGGGCTGTTTCGTTCACGGAATGTTAGATTACGTTAGGGAATGTTAGATTGTTGGGAATATTAGATTACTGGGAATGTTAGATTCCTGTGTTTAGTTAAAATTGAGGTATGTAATATAATTATATTTGGTTTAGAGTTATACATACATACATACATACATACACACACACACACACACACACACACACACACACACATATATATATATATATATATATATATATATATATATAAATATATTCATATATTTTAATAAATTTAAATATTAAAATAAATAAATTAGATAACAGTATCTTGAACTTGAGAAACAAAATTATTTTATATTCTAACATTCTAACATTACGTTATGTTACTCTTGAGGGGGAGTGTTAGGACTTGTATTTACGGTAGACTAGGACTCTACTCTTATACATGATAGACTAGGATTCTACCGTTACTTATCTGATGTATATATCCTTTGTGTAACTCTTTTGGTATTCGTTCAATACAACAACATTCATCATATGAACCAAACATGAAAATGTTAGCTTTGAATTGTCACATTCCCTTGGTTATGTTATATAACCTGAACCAAATGCCCCCTAAGTGCACTGCAATTTCACAATCTACATAGTGCAATTTTTAATACTATAGAATGCACTTTTTAATAACATAAATTTGCATTTCTAGAAATTCCTAAGAAATGCATAGTATCCGCGTTTTTTTTTTTTTTTCTAAATTTGATTTGATTCGTTAAATTTTTCTAGATATAAGGTTGAAATTGGTTTTCAGTTTTCTCTTTGGAGATGTGTTCTCTTATGATCCTTCCCCCACCCCCCCTCCCCACACACATATCATTCAAATAATTAAGGGCAAGTACTCCTTGTAAAAAGTAAGGACTAATCTCAACTACCACATTTACAACTTCTTATCGAGTCTTGTGAACCTGACTGGGGTTATGTCGAACGTTTGGCGACTGACCACGAGGCCAAGCTCGATGAGTGAGAAAATAAACCTCTCATCAACGGTTAAGAATTTCAGTAAATACAAAAATACATGGTCAATTCTATAATTATGCAATTTTTTTTAAAGTTTACAATATTTATAAAATTAACCCTACTTTTTTCTCTTTATTTTTTAGTAATCCTCAACCGTTAATCTACTTTATAACTGAAATCAAGATGGAGAAAAAACCAGCACTCAGAATGAGAGTATATTGGCAAATAAATTCAAAATTATTATAAATTCAACTCCGAAAATCAAGCATAACATTTGCATTTTATCAAAACACAAGCCAATATTACCAAAATACCCCTATATAAATAAAAAGGAAAATAAATATGAAAAATAAGAAAATATCACATTCAAATACATACTAGGGATGACAAT